TTAAGAGGTTGCAATGAGATATTTTATGAGATGGTTATAAACGAGGCACTTCCACTATTTTCAATGTTGGCATATGTGTGTCTCTGAGGTATTGGTTATTAATCTATTACTTTGTATATAAGCTTCCACATGGAAACACTGGCCTTAAGATAACAACAAGAAAATGATTACCTTAAAAATACAGTTTGAAACATACGTTTTTCTTGTGTATTTACAGTACCACCGAAGTGGGATGTGGAGCCGAGAGACACAGCAGTTGTTGCGGGCCAGAACGTCAGGATAGATTGCCTAGCCAGTGGCTTTCCCTCACCCGTGGTGACGTGGGAGCGAAAAACTGGTAATGGGTGATGAAAAAAAAACGTGCATGCTGTTTAGATAATAGTATATTTATCGTAGATGACAGAGCTTAGATTCAAACTATAATTTACACAACCCGTTTAATTCGCACGGGTTAGTATTTTAATACAGTTGTTACTCACTGCTGGACATGTTTTTTGCCAGTCCGTAAAATAATTATAGTGAAAACAGAAAAATACAAAATGGTCTTGAAAGATTTCATTTTTTTTGCAGTTTATATTATTTACACGTTTCAGATTAAGCGAAAAATATTTCCTTTTTAGTTCGTTGTAAAATAAGTGAGCCTCATTAGTTTCACTTCAAAGCTTCTTGAAAATGCCCAAGTAAGGAAAAACTGTGTGTTGGCCTCTAGTCGTCTGGGGGGTGTAAACAACATCCCTTCACTATCTTACTATAATGGACGTAGCGTGTATCTATCTATATACATGTCCGAAATAATATATATTGTGGCGCCATCTATTAAATGGGAACTCAAACAAAAAATCTATAAAACAAATTCAAGATTCACACAATTAGAAAAATAACTACGGTACGTGCAACAACCACTTCTTTATCATAGAACATAGTTTTAAATAAAAGAACTCTCCTTACAGCAAGAACACGATGTTCATTAGGACTGTACGTAAGGGTTTGATTATACCTTTATTGATGTAGTTTGTAAATATAGTACAAAAATGGAGTTCTTAAAAAAATATTTTTTCAATAAACGGTACCACTTTTAATATATAAATATATTACAGTTTATACCAGCACAATCCGAGCACTTTTCCCATGCAGCACTTCCCAGAAAAATCTTTTTTTTAAAGAAAATGTTCACTTTTTCTAAATTTTTTCAATGAGGTATGAATACTACGATTAGTAATTACTAGCACAAACAGCCGCCCGTAGGGCAGCGTTTTTGTTTGTATCTAAAACGGTCCATATGCTTTGTACGTAGAATGAAAAGGTTGGAAACCACTGGTCCAATAGACTATCTAAAACTAGTATAAGGCTTATTCTTTAAAGAATGCCACTACTAATTTACTTAAAACTGCAGGGTGTCATGTATGACACTCAACATTGTAGTTTTCTTATGTGAACACAACTGGAAGTTTTTGATTTTTTGTTCCAATCAAAGCTCCACTATAAGCAAAACATAATTAATTATTATCATTGTGACCGAAATGGTAGGAAATACTTCTTCCAGATTTTTCAAATGTATTTCAATAAAGTAATGTAAACCACTACTGAAACAGTATAGACATACAATTATAATGTAAAAATCACAGAAGACATACTGCATTAAATAGAGTTATAGTGTAACCACTACAGCAGTACATATATTACATATAGTTGTGCTGTAAAAATTGCAGAAAATACTACAATATACTTATTTTCAGTTTACAACTACAGTAAGAATATTGAACTTCTTACAGTTTTAATGTAACCAATGTTGAAGTTGAGGATATTAAATAGGATAACAAGGAGGTTAAATCAGCATGGGTTTCTGTTGCAAGATATAGGGGTAAATTGTCCTCCATTAGAATCTGTTATAGTTCACCTGATCACATTGATGAATTAATATATGAGAAGCATTGTAATGGGGTAAAGAATGCATTAGCTAATGAGGTTTGAGTCGTGAGGGATTTTAAACATATTGATTGAGGGATTTAGTGTTAAACAGTAACAGAAGTTCTTGAAAACTGTCCAAGAAAACCTGCATATTTTGAAAATGATCCTGGGTTAGATAATATTTTTCCAAGGGCATTAAAAGAGATTAAGGTTGAAGTTTAAAAATAAAATGGCTCCTGGGCCAGATAATATTTTTCCAAGGGTACTAAAGGAGGTCATGGA